CCAAAACCCCAAAACCCCAAAACCCCAAAACCCCAAAACCCCAAAACCCCACTATAACTAATTTGAAAATATAGAGACAGTATTAAGATATCATATTTTCAAAAATCATTATGATCTTGATTAGCTTTACTTTTTCTTTATTAATCTTTTTGAATATCTTTTTCTTGTTAAAGTTGGTCATCCTCTATTACCCTATCAATTTCAGCTTATCTTTCATAAAAATCAATTTTCTTTTGAATTTCCTCTTCCTCACTATTTAGCTTACTGAATGTTGAATTCAAATCATGTAAGCATCTAAGGTGAGTAGCTCTCTCTTTTTCAATCTTTTTAAATTCTTGATTGAATGATTCATCCATCAAAAGCATGTTATCATCCTTATCAAGCACTTAAACAACTGCTTTATCAATATTAATGAGAAGATGCTCCATATTCTTAAACATATCAGTAAGCATCATACACTTCTGCTAGAAAAATTTCCTGTAATTATGCTCTTAATCCGTCAGTTGTTTCAACTACTCACAAAACTTACTCTCTCTGTTACGAAGAGACTCTCTATTACCTAGGTATTGCACCCATTTCTGAGATTCTTAGTCAACTTCATAACTAGCATTTTCAAATCTCTTCTTGAGAATTTGCATCTCAAGTTCTGTTTACTATCTTTCATCTTAAACTCTTTTGATGCTGTCCTCAATCTCGGCAATCTTTTACTTTTGAACTTCTATTTCCCAATCAGCTTATTAAAGATTCTTTTGCTGTTCTTGACCTAAATCTAGATCCTCTACTATTTTCCAATTTTTATCAGATTACTTTGAGGTCTCGTACAATAGAAAGAACTCTTTCGAACAAAAGTCAAATTTTTCATTTATCCCTCCAAATACATAGACTTCATTATTTTACTGACCATTACTCATAACATGACCATATCTTGGACTAGGAGTCATACCACCAGTAATAGGCTAAATCCAATGAAACTCTTGCAGGTTAAGTATCTAAAGGTCATTAAGCAGTGTAATCTAAGGTGATGAGTTGCTAGCTGAATTAGATTCTTCGCCAATACCTCCAAAAATAACAATCATTGAATCACCTAAGAGCATCATCTAATGATGACATCTTCCCTAGGGCTGTGTACCTTTTGTCTCAATTTTTCTCCAACTTCTTCTTTAAATGTTGAAGAAGAATACATGATTATGGCATTTATAGTCTGGAGATTACCCTCCAAATAATATAAGATGCTCTTAATCAGGATGTGCGACTATTTTATGACCTTTAAGTTTGCCTGGTAGTTATCCATCTTCAGAGGTATATTATATCTTCTCCCATTAAATACCGGGAAGCTCTAGCTATTTAGAATTCCAGGGAACATTTTCCATGTTCAAGAACCACATTTCATCTAGTTATAAGTTTTCTGGACTGATATTGCCTCCATAGACATAAAAGTTTTAGTTACACTTGGTCAGGGAATGCTGATCTCTTGCAGTGGGCTAGTCAAATACAAAAAATCTTCTCCACTATTATGAGTCCACTTAAAACACAAATAGATCTGCCTGTGACTTATTCTTTTTATCACTCTGATTGATGATCTAGCCACCGTGAATAAATAGATTCGGGTCTACAGATATATTCTAATTTGACTAATAAAATTACATTCATAATAGGAAGCAAAGAAGCATCTTTACGAAGGACATTTACCCTTTGCTTTTCTCTTCTCCCAATTCTTATTTTCTAAAATGTTTATCTTTTCAAGATTACCAATATTAAAGACAAGATAGTGGTCTAGCAGCTTATTGGTCTTATTTTATGCTCCTCCTGCTCCTCTATTTCCAGCAAGTGAGAATCCAAGGCTACCAGCAGAACTATTAAGACCAGCTGGGTTTGTACTTTGACTTCTCTTTCTTTCTTCAGCAGAAAGACCTAATCCTGCTACCTCCATCTAGGTCTTCCTTGCATTATCCTTAATATTCATCCAGTTTTTTGCTGTGTTTTCCTCACCACCCATAATATATAGATCGCCATGAGAAAAAAACATAGCATGACCTCCTCTACTACTCTCTTCTTCAATTTAGTCTAAAAATCATCTATTTAAGATACTCATATATTAATACTGAGTGACTATTCATTGATCTCCAGCTTATTCCAAAATAACGAGCTTTGCAACATTTTAAATTTGCTTTTAAATTAACTTTATTCTTCTAAGCAATTTTAGATTTTACCTACTATCGGGGTTTTGGGGTTTTGGGGTTTTGGGG